ATGCAGTTTGACAATATTTATTTAGAATCTGTGCACATATATTCATGCATTAGATTGGTCTTTGACTTTCCTTTCTCATACTCTTTTGTCAGGTTGTGCTATGAACATTACGCTAGCTTTATAAACTGAATATATAATAGGCTTTATTTGAATAAATTTGGAGTTACGTCTTCTTAAAATGTTTGTTAGAACTCCCTGTAACAAAGTGAAGATGACCCCCAACTTACAATTGTTCACCTTACTGTTTTTCAACTTTATGATGGCATTCAGTAGAAACAATACTTGGATTACCTCTACAACCATTCTATTTTTAATTTCCAATACAGTATGCACTAAATTACATGAGATATTGAACACTTCATTATAAAATAGGCTTTGTGTTACATGATTTGTCCAACTTTAGGCTAATGTAAGTATTCCGAGCACGTTTAAGGCCAGGCTAAGCTATGATGTTCAGTAGGTTAGGTATATTAAATGCATTTTCAACTTACACTATTTTCAACTTATGATGGGTTTATTGGGACACAATTCCATCTTAAGTCAAGGAGCATCTGCATTTCTTAGCTTTCAAGCATGTGAGGATTTTCCTCACAATGAAGAAAAGCAGTTACTTTTCTTCATTGATTTCTAGCATGATTACATTGTGATCACAGAACATACTTTGAATGATTTCAATCATTTGATATCTGTTAAGCTTTGTTATGACCCAGTATATAGTAAACATTTTGTAAGTGTCCTATCAGTATCCAAAAAGGGTGGATATTCGGTAGTGTTCTATGTATGTCCACTAGGTCAAGTTTGTTCATAATGCTATTAATATTTGAATCTACTGTGTGTGTACAGGATTTTGTCTGCTTGTTATATTAATTACTGAGAGAAGTATGTCAAAATCTCCCCCTATGATTTTAGATTTGTGTATTTCTCCTTGTAGTTCTGACAATTTTTGCTTTTTTTACTTTGAGGCTATGTTTTTGGTACATAAAAATGTAGAATTGTGATATTCCTGAGGATTTAATTTTTCATTATATAAAATAACTCTCTTTATAACTAGGTTATGAGTAGTTCAATGAAAACTTCCAACCATTGGAAATGCTAGTCGGGCAAACATACAGAGGCTGCTTTTAAGAAATCTTAAAGAATAGACAGAGCAAAGGAGCCCATCCCCTCAGCTTTCTGCAGCACAAGAATGGGCAATTCTCAGGAAGTTGCTCAGGGACACCGTTAAGTCACCATCATCACCGTTAATCTCAGAAGTCTACAACACTGAGAGCACACTGGGAGTTGCAGGCCTACCAAGTTTTTTTAAAATGAGCATGGGTCCAATATTTTTTATTTTTGCCAAGTGAAAATGTATTTTAAATCAACTATAACAATGATTTCACAAAAGAAAATATATGTTAATGACAGCAGAGGAAACACATAGTTCCAAAATAAATATAAATTTTTAGCTTAAATAGATTTAGTTTTATGAAAAATAATATTTCTCATTATTTTTCTCATTTTGCTATAAACCGATGCAAACTCATTCAGGTCGGGAGGAGGCTCATTCTACAGTAGCACTGGTCCTCAGACTGCATTTTGAATCACTGACCAAGTACAAACTCCTTCTGTTGCTTCAATAGCTGCTCCATCCTTCCAGTCCCAGCGTCATTGCTCGGTCCCCTGAGCATAAATGTTACTCACTCCTCTCCTCCCTCACCAGTGGAATGGATCACTTCCTCCTAGGTACTGCTCAACCCTGTAGTGTGTTCTCTTAACATAACAGTGTAAACTTTTCACTGTT